ACAAACAACGTGCAGAAAGCGATAAAAATTACAGTGGGGAAGATATCGGAAAATAGAAGGAGACATCAGAACTGAGTATTGGATATTTTATTGGTTTCTTGGTTGTTTCGTGGAAGGCTGAGCTGTGCAGCACAGCGGTGCCTTTTGCACAGTGGCACGGAGCTGCCCGGCTTGTTAGGGTCAGCAGTGTCCGGCGCGGTCTGGGTGTGTCCCAGCAGTGTGGGGCAGGAGCACATGTCAGGCCGCGGGAGGTGTGCAGTGCTGGTGGGCAGCAGGGGAGGAGCAGCCAAATGCCGGCACTGCATCAGGGCAGCTGTGTGTGCTGCTGCTGGGATCAGTGCGGTGCTTGAGGAGGACGCCTGTGTGCCTTGTGCTGAGCAGCGACGCAGCACTGCTTGCTTACGCTGAGCTTGGTCCTGCAAGTGATGGGCTTGTGGTGAGCGCGTGTGACGCGTGGCTGTGTTTATTTCAGCACTGCTGATGCTTCTTCTGTTAGCATGGGAGCATCTGACCAACTTAGCAAGGCGGAATGCAGACTATCAATGAAGATTTCTGAATTTACTCTTCAATCACAATCTTGCATTTGAAATTGAAGTTTGAAAACAGAGAAGTAAAATACCCAGTTCTGCTTTTAGGCAGAGTCTGTGAAAGGCTCTGTTTTGGCTGTAGGCTGACTTGGAGCCCTTCAGGATCAACCTGCCTTTATGAAAGTTCTCCCCATTTTGCTTCTCTGTCACTACTGTCAATTTCTTCCAGTGAATTAAAGTGTTGAGCCAGAAATTTAGCAGAGATAGCATACGTTGTGTAACGATCCCTCCTTCAGCATTTGTGCTGCTTGCTGCAGAAATTAATGCAGCTAATGGATCTTTACTGGTAATCCTGATCAGTGTGAGAAGGCCAAAATAAATGGTTGAGTAATGTTTTGGATTCTGGCATTTTCAACCCCAAAATGGTGATATCAGGATGGCAGAGTCAAAGCTGTTTGTTATTTCTTGTTTGTTTATAATTTCTGTACATGATTGTAATACTGCCTGATTATAATTTCTTGTCTGTAAGTGTAGGATGTGATATATATTTCTGAATCTAAAACTAGTGATGAGGAAAATACGGAAGAGAATTTTAAGATAAGTCCTTCAGCATTCCCTGTGTCCTGGATGCGCAATGGCTGCATGAGGGCAAGAGGCAGAGAGCGCATTGCCCTGGAGGAGCGGGCTGTGCTCTGTGGTGTGAGGCTGCAGGAACCTCTGCAGGGTGTCAGGGTGCGACTTACTTTGGCAGTGCGTGATGGTGATGGTTATGGCAGTGAGGAGCAGGAGGCAGGTGACAGCCAGGTTAACCCACATGACCATTTTACAGTAGAATCTTGGTGTGTTCTCGTTGCTTGTTCCTGCAGGATGAACGGAGAGAGAAGAAAGAGTGAAGTCCCAGCTGCAGACATCTCCCTGCATCCTGAAATGCCTGTAGCCAGCACAAAATTTTATTTGGCCTCTTCTAACCAAAGCAGCACTGCTGGCAGAGCCCCTGTCTCCCCACAGCTGAGTTACCTGCATGCTGGCCCTGTTGCGAGTTGTCCTTCGTGGTGACCTGGCTGTTCTGTGTGGTGGCAGTGGGTGTGATGTGTTCTGCTGTTGTGAGTGGATGGAAAAATGGATGAATACAGTGAGGTACAAGAAAACAGCCTTCTTCCACTCCTGCCAGGCCATTGATGAACCTGTGGCCAGCACTGTGGGGGGACTCCATAGGGCCCATTTGGACCTGTGATGCCCTGACACTGTGCTGTGAGGTCTGCTTGCATTGCTGAGCTGCCCAGCCAGGAAACCTGAGGGCTGTGGGCTCAGGATTTCTTTCCTGCACCCTCAGAAATTCTGAGCTCTTTAGGTGGTTTCATCCCCTGATTGGCAGCTCTCTGAGAAAAATTATTAGAATTATCCCTTCTTCTGACATCCCCAACTACCTGCAGTCAGCACAGCCTTGAATTCAGGCTGTTCCAAGCAATTCAGCATTGCTGGCAGAGCCTCTGCCTCTCCACAGCTGGCTTACCTGCATCTGAGCCCTGTTGTGAGCTGTCCTTCTTGGTGAGCTGGCTGCTCTGGGTGGTGGCTGTGTGTGTGGTGGTTGCTGCTGTTGTTGTGCCTGGAAAGAAGAAATAACTGAATAGAGTGAGGTACAACAGAAGAGCTTCTTCCTATCCGTGCCAGGACATGACCAGCAGAGGAAGAACTTCTGTAGGATCTGCTTTGACCAGTGATGCTTTCACATGCTGCCCAGCCCAGGAAACAGAATTTCGGCTCCTAATTTCTTATCAGACCCTCAGCATGTGGAGCTCTTTGTTATCTCTGTTATAAAACATGTCCTGAGAGCCATGGGGATTTTTTTAGTTTCTGTTTCAGGTGCTGTAAGCATTTGGATACTGTCAGAATGTAGAGATCCAGGTGAGGTGAGGAAGGCTGGGGTTCCTGTGGACTTTGTAAGTCTCATCCCTCAGAGGTGCAGATGGGATGCGGAGGTGCTGCTGGGCTGTGAGACCACCTGTGTGTTTGGGCAGGGCCGGTACTGTGAGCAGAGCTGGTGGGCAGGGAGCCTCTGTGAGGAGGAGCAGTGCTGTGTGATGAGACGGCTTGGGCAAAGAAGCAGGGACATGGGGAGTGTGGGCGATGGGCCGGATTGAGAAGGCACGGGCAGGGGTGGTGGGTGTAAGCGAGGAGGGTGAAGGTGTTGCTGACCTGGGAAGAAGGCGGGTTGCCCAGAGCTGAAGTGCAGCACCTGGTTGATGTATTGGATGCAGAAATAGATCCCCTCGTCTTGTGCGCTGAAGGACTTCACCACCAGTCTGTAGGTGTTGTCTCTCAGTGAAGCCTGGAACTGTGTAGATTTTTTGTCATCCCAATAGTAGTTAGTACCGTACCAGCGGTAGCAAGAGACAATGAAGTGAAGTCTCCCATCGTTCTCCAGGCGGATCCAGAAGAGAGATAAGGGGGATCTGTTCATCTCATAATTTAGGCACTCCAGTTCCAGCCGCTGTCCCTCCTGGGGGTGCTTCATATTCCTGTCACGTAACCTGACCTCAAGTGTGTTCCTCTGTCCCTGGGCACCGGTGCAGCCTGTGGGCAGAAGTCGGGCATGTCCCCTCAGGTGCTGCTTGGGAAGAGCTCCTGGGGCCTTTGGGCAGGGCTCTTCCCTGCTGGTGCGGTGCGTGGCAGGCAGGCAGCCGGGCTGTGAGGGTTAATGTGGAGGGTGGTCCTGGCATCCAGCATGCTTGTGTGTTGTGCTGGAGTCCCTGGGGACTCAGCATTGAGAGTGCTGGGCTCTCGAGATGGATGCTGCCCTTCAGAGCAGCCCTTCAGCTGCCTTCTTGGGGCTGCTGCCATTTCCCAGCTTCTTTGCCAGGTGATTCCTTGCTGACACTTGCTAAATGCTGTGACTCTCCCCTTCCCCATCCTCTCCAGCAACACCTGTCTGAACAAGCTCTGTTCCTGATGCATATCGCACTGCAGTCCCACCACTCCCGCTTGCCTGCGCAGTCACTGAGCAGCCCTGAATTCCATCCTTCTGGCTTCCATACTCACAGAGCCCCAGGCTGAGCAGGAGGAGCAGTGCAGGAGAGCCGGCCATCGTCCTCGGGGCGGTGCAGCGGAGCACGGCTGATCTTTCTCACTGAACTTTGGAGGCAGTGTAACTTATAGGAGAGGATGTGATGTCATCAGGACCCTCTTGTGTGAAGAGGTGGCATTCAGAAAAGAATGATTTCTGCAGCACTTCATTTGTGATCCAGAACGTGGGCTGAGTTGTTCTTAAGGTGCTTCAAGGATTTTTCTGCTGCAATGTCTTCATTTGATACTCTGACTGACGTTGTTCACGCTTGAAATCAAATCAGCCTCCAGGAACTGCTGTCTCTCAGCCATTTGGGGTGCTCTCATCATGTCCTCTTTGGAAATAACAAGGAGAGTTCCCTTGCTGTTGAAATGGATTGCAAGTTGTATTTTATGCAGTGGATTTTATTTTAGTGCCTGTCATTATATTCTATTTATCAGTTTATCCTCGTGTATTTCTCATGTCATGGTCCATGCATTGCTGACATGTAGCTGAGTGCCGCACAATTCTTCGTGTTCTCCATGATTCTTCTTTATGTTTTCTGTGCAGAAGCTGCTGTGTGCAGGGCAGGAGGTCTGTGATGTGGTAGCCATCGCTACAGCTCCATATCCCAGACTCACGCAGACCAATTCTTTTTTTAATTTAAATTCCTGTGTTTTTGTTCTACAACCACAGGGACCTCTGCCCTGCCAAAAACCCCTTCTATGCCTCAACACTGAGGGCCCTGGCTGCTGCCTGCAGGTGACCACTCACACGTTGGTAAGTGCAGGGCTTCCTGCAGCTTTGCACACACAGTAGTGACAGTTTCCCTGGGCTGGTGTTATTTGTGTCTTGTGTTGTTATTTCCTGGCTCCACTGTTCTTTGTGATGTGTTGCTGTTTTACTCTTTTGTAAATGCTTCCCCTGTTCTGGATGCCAGGAACCAGGCACTGCTGTCTGAGGAAAGTGTTGTTTGGAGAGAGAGCCAGAATTGTGTGGTTATCTGGGCTCCTTTCATTGAGCCTCAGCACATTTTGTTGAATAGGGAAAGCTGCTGTGAAGCCTGCAAGGATGGGGTAACTGTGGTCAGCCAAGGTTAAACTGTGATGTTTCAGATGCACTTATCCAAAGTTGTCCTGAGTCCTCACCTGCCGAGCAGTGACCATCAGCAGCACTGATAGTGCAACTGAGAGAATTAGGAAAGAGAGATGAACTCTCAGGTACAGATTCCTGCCCTTAATAGCAGAGGCATCATGGTTTATTATTGTTAAGGCTGTGGTGAAATTGGTTTAATTTATTTACATTGAACAATTAATCCGTCACATATAGGTGTGGGGAGTTTACATGAAATGGATGGAAGACTGAGTCTGACAGGTTTTGGAATGGGATCAGGAGGACGTCAGTTTGAGATGAATGATCTTGTTCTTTGCAGAGGGAAATTCAGTTGGAAGAGCGTGTAGATATTTCCCACCATGGATCCCTGTTCTGGCAGACAAATATGTTTGAATATAACTGGGAATCAATTTCCTTTATTTGAAACATTAGTGGTGTTGATTGTAGCATGCTCAGTCCCTCTGCCCCCGTGAAATCTGTGAGTGAAAGCAAAGACCACACTGAGAGCATTAAGAATTAGATGTGTTTGATCAGGAAGACCTTAGAAGGGAAAGAGAGGTTGGGGTTTGAGTACTGTGTTTTGGCTGTGATTGAGGCATAGGCAGAGAAGATTCAGCCAAATGCCGGCGCTGCATCAGGGCAGCTGTGTGTGCTGCTGCTGGGATCAGTGCGGTGCTTGAGGAGGACGCCTGTGTGCCTTGTGCTGAGCTGAGTAGCTGAGTTCCGCGTGTTAGTTGTTCTCTGCAATTGTTCCTTGTGATTTCTGTGCAGAAGCTGCTGTTTCTGAAGCAGGATGGTCTCTGGTGTGATACCCATCAAGAAAGCCTTATTCCCCAGTGCCGTGCAGATTATTTTTTTACTTTTATTTTTTTACATCTTGTGACTTTCTTCTCCAACCACAAGGACTTCCGCCCTGCCAAATAACCCTTTTGTGCTTCTACATTCAGGACCCTTGCTGCTGCCTCTAGTTGGCCACTCACACGCTGGTAGTGGTTTGGACTTCCTGCAGCTTTGTACGTCAATTAGCGACTGTTTCACTATCCTGGTGTTATTTGCTTCTTCTTTGGGTATTTCCTGGTTATCCAGTTTTTGTTATTTTTTCTTCTTTTCCACTTATGAGGAATTTTTCTGACTCCATGGGTGTGCAACAGTTTGTCTTGCCTGGGCCACACTGAGTGATGAAGCAGTGTTAGGCACCAGCACTGTTGTCACTGCTGAAATGCTCCTCCCAGAGCCTCACTGTGCTCACATCCACTGTTTGGTCTCCAGAAATGCCCAACAAACATCACTGAATGTCATTGGGTGCCATTTGTTCTGCACGGATGACTTCAGTGCTCATTTCCGTGTTGGACGCTGTTCTGTCAGACTGCCCCTCTGCTGCTGTCTGTCACGTGGCAACAGAATGTGATGGGAAACTGGTGGGAAGGTTCTGCTTCTACTGCCATACCACCAACATCTGCCTCTGAACATACGGACCAGCTGAATAAAACGGGAGGTGTTGCTTTAGTGCAGTCCTTTCTAAACAGACAATATCCTTAACATGAAATCCAAATATCCAAATATGAAATCAATTTCATTTTCAGTGCCTTTACTAAAATGTTAAAAATATAAGCAAAAAGAATGATAAAACTGGTCAGGTATGTGGCCTTGTTTTTGTGTAACTAACGCTCTGATCTGGCTTGATGGCAGTGCCTGCAGTTGTCAGTGAGGCCTCAGTGGGGTTTGTCAGAGAATTCTGCTGAAATTTTACTCTTCCTGTACTTCATCCTTGGCTGTAATTGGTCCCAAAAGCGGGTAGTGCCAAAACCTGATGACACGAATAAGGCGTGGTTGTGAAGCTGATGATGCTTTCGTCCAGCCTGACCTCTGTTCTTACATTCCTGTATCAAACCGCAGAGCCCTGCTGCCCATTGTCGGCTGTTGACAAGGCCGTGTTCACCAACGGCTGCAAATGCAAAGAGTTGTTTGCCACCCTGGAGCCGGCCCTGCCCCGCACCCTCCCCGCGCCCTGCTCTCCCTGCACACACTGAACAGCACGGCTGTGCGGCTGTGAGCGATGGCTGCACGGCTGGGGCGCAGCCGCCGCCATGATGGCGCGGGGCAGGGGGCGGCCGTGGGAGGGCTGGGGGGTGGGCATGCCTGTATGGCTCCTGTGCCAGCGTTGCTGCTGCTCTGGGAGCCAGAAGAGCGGCACTGCTGAGTGATGGAAGTGCTGTTTTGTGAGAAAGTGAGCTGAACCCATCTGGGAACCGGGCTCATTTCTTTGGGCCTCACAGCACTTTGTTGCGTGAGGAAAGCCGGAGAGAAGCCTGCTGAGCTCTGAGAGGCTTGTGGTGGGATGAGGCTGTGAGCCCTGTGACGTCTGCATGATCTAGAGCAGACCTTAATAAAATAGCCAGAGAATCTGATGGATCTATCAAATACCATTACAAGTATCTGTTGCCTTTCTTAGAAGGGGCATCTTATTTCCCTCCTCTGCCCTACTGATAG